AATCTTCAGTGCTAAAAAGCATTTGATTTTAAAAATAAATGATAAATCATTAACTTGCCATTGAGTTCCGACCTCGTTTTAAAGCCAAAATAAGATGCCAATAAAATGTACTTATGCACTTTAATCTGGATTTAGCATCATATTGTAGTTCTGATTTGTGGGTTTGATTTTTAATAACAGAACTAAATTAGTTAAGATGCAGTTTAACACTTATAAAGTGTAGACATACAAAAGATCATGGGTTCAAGTGACTGAAGAGTATAAAACATAAAAATTAGGGTGGTCAGGCGATTAAAAAGATTAATCACGATTAATCACACTGTTAAACAATAACAGAATGCCATTTATTTAAATATTTTGGATGTTTTCTACATTTTAAAATATATTGATTTCAGTTACAACACAGAATACAAAGTGTACTGTTATCACTTTATATTTATTTTTTATTACAAATATTTGTGCTGTAAAAAACAAAAGAAATTGTATTTTTCAATTCCCTTATTGGAAGTACTGTAGTGCAATCTCTTTATCATGAAAGTTGAACTTACAAATGTAGAATTATGTACAAAAAAACCTACATTCAAAAATAAAACAATGTAAAACTTTAAGGCCTACAGGTTCACTCAGTACTACTTCTTGTTCAGCCAGCCAGTCAGACAACAAGTTTGTTTACATTTGCAGGAGACAATGGTGTCCACTTCTTGTTTACAATGTCACCTGAAAGTGAGAACAGACGTTCGCATGGCACCGTTGTAGCCGGTGTTGCAAGATATTTACATACCAGAAATGCTAAAGATTCATATGTCCCTTCATCTTCAGCCACCATTCCAGAGGACATGCGTCCATACTGATGACTAGTTCTGCTTGATAACGATCCAAAGCGGTGCAGGCCAAAATAAATTTCAGTGGGTAATCTACTGTTTAACAGTATGATTAAAATGGCAATTAATCGCGATTAATTTTTTAATCGTGATTAATTTTTTTGAGTTAATCGCATGAGTTAACTGTGATTAATCAACAGCCCTAATAAAAATGTATGTGGTAAATCCTGTCCCCATAGAAATGAATGGCAAAACTCTCACTGACATTAACAGGACCAGGTTTTCACTCATGAAGTTTAGCTAAAAAAGTTGGGTTTTATTTTGGACAGTAAACTAAGGTTTGCATAATATGTGTGGGAGTAAGAAGGTTTTGTCCTTTTATATGAAATTATCCCATAATATATGCCATGCATAAGAAATAATTTAAGAATTTAAAATAACATCATAAATTAAAATAACAATAACAATTTAAGTAGTGTTGTAGTCATGTCAGTCCCAGGATATTTTATTGGACCAACTTCTGTTGTCTCTGCTTGTCTCTCACCAACAGAAGTTGGTCCTGGAACTGGCGTACCACTGTGCCCTCTGTTTTACCAATCTGGGTTCCCTCTCACACTGTGACATTGTGACAAGCTGCAAAGCCCTCCAAGATTGCCCTCACACAAACATCTACAGGGAGGGGCCACACCCAGCTATGTTCATGAATGCTCTGCCAGCCACTGCATGAACCAACGAGAGAGAGGCTCCAGCCAAAATACCCCCCATTTCCCCAGCCTCCCACCCTGGAGCTGTACTGTCCTATCTTAGTCAAAAGCCTGAACTCTATATGAGTTATTACCCAGTCTGCCGCTTCTACAAAGGAAAGTTGACGTGCATCAGCTCTTGGTCTTGAGCTGAGATTTTTCCCCAAGCACTTCACTCAAACCACACTGTTTTAGGTAAAAATATAAAATAGATTTATTAACTACAGAAAGATAGATTTTAAGTGATAGTAAACAGATCAAAGTAGATTACCTAGCAATAAACAAAATCGCAATCTAATCCTAGATAGGATTTGAATTAAGCAGTGTCTTACCCTGTTAGATGGTATAAACAGTCTACCAAGGTTTCGTACACAGACAGGCTTCCGTCTTTTCTGCCTGGGACCAGCACTTCTCCCAGTTCAGTCTTTGTTCCTCAGGTATTTCCAGGTGGGGAGTGAGGCACGTTGATGATGTCACTTCCCCCTTTTATAGCTTATTCCAAACCACGTTCCCAGCCAAGTTTGTGGAAAAATACAGGTACCAAAATGGAGTTCAGTACCACGTGAACTGGTCACAAGCCCTTGCATGCTCTGATGAGTCATGGTAGCCATTATCCATAGGCTGACTGACAGTTCATCAGGTGAAGATAAGCTTTCTCCTTGGCCCATTGTCTTTGTTGATGTGCCATTCAACTTGAATAGGCCATTCATAGTCTGCTGGCAGACTGTATGTAAAGCTTATGGGTATTAACCAGATGCATGCACATTTGAAATATAAATACATAGTCAATAATCATAACTCCCGATACAAAAATGATACATTCATACAAATAGGATAATCATATTCAGCAAACCATAACTTTTCCATTGACACTTTACATGACACATCTTGCACAAGATGCATCATAATTATGTCATAATCATGTCATAATTATATCACTATAGTGAATATGGGATGCAAAGTGTCACAGGTCCAATAAAAGATATTACTTCACCCACCATGTGTCTCTAATAACAGTTTTAAAAAATTAGCAAGTTTTAAGTGTCAGTTACAATGAAAAAACAATTATTTTCAGATTGGTAGGTTATGATGTATTATACCGCAATTATTCCTTGATTATTTTTTAAGGAAAACCCACCTTAACTGTTTTCTTTGCTTTTGCTCAAAATCTTGTCATTTGACTTTGTGTGCGCACGTAAGCTACCAAATACTAGGCTGCTTTCTGACCATTAGACAACATGCCAACGTATTCAGTTATTGTAGGATAAAATGACTTTAGTTTTATTGTATTATTTCTTCACTGCTTAGACAGTAGAAGTACAAGTCTGATCCGTAGCTCTTATATCGGATTAGCTATCTACATTTGTGTGCTTGGTATTTCTAGTGAACATACTTAAAATTGCATTATGTTCAGCTAAAGCAGACATGAGAACCAGACTATTGCCACAGAATTCACATTGAAAAAAGTGATCAACTTTCATATCTTTTTATGTTTCTCTAGAGTTCAGCTATATTAAATTTAGAAATCTTACTGTATAAACATATTCAATTTGTACTCTCCTTACTCTTTCTGCATGTGGATTTGCAAGACTTCTTTTCTAATTGTATCCAATTCAGCACAATAGCCATGTCCCTGATCTACCAATTTTTTATTTGATTTGCTGATGTACTGTCAATGCTATGTACTGTGCTGGCATGAGGAAACCTAATTTGAAGACTGATTTGTGAGGAAATGACAGTATTGCTTATTTAAGGACTTGAAAAATGTACTCTCCTAATTGTGTGTGGCAAGTAGGAGGCTTTCTTAGGGGTTAGCAAGAATCATGGCCATCAACATCTGCAGAATATCTGTTTTTGTGAGGGGAAAAAACTTGAATACTTACAGATGAAACTCAATGGAGTGCTGCCTTTTTAAATCTGCAGGCAGGAGGGGCTGTGCTCCCTAATTCTTATTCACCATCTCCTCTGGACTGGCCAGCAATCTTTGCAGCAACATCCTATGTGAGCTAGGAGCAGTTTGAGCAACTGTTCTGTCAACTTGGCTATAGGTACTCAGGAGCCCCACCAGTGGTTGGCCGTCCCTTCTTGGAGATAGGAGGGAGGGAAGAGAGAGCTGCTTTGGCTGCTAAACTATGCTTTCTTGCTGGGCTTTGGTACCACATGGGAGCCTGCTGGAAGGAAAAGCAGGATAGGTGCTCCACTGACCACTTCTTCCTGAGCCCAGGACAGCCCTCAGCATAGCACGGCTTCCTTCTCCATTCAGCCACTGAGTACAGCATGGGAGGGGAGAAGATACTGAGAACCTACTCTTTTCCCTTCATTCCCCTCAGCTTGGAAAGAAGGCTACCAATAAGTTGAAGGAGGCATATCCTAATGTTTTGAAAGGAAGACAGCATGAATTTGGGAGGGAGATGGCAGTGAATAAGTTTATGGGGATTGGAAAGCCACACAATATGAGTTTTGTCGGGGTGTACAGGGAAAGGGCAATGACTTCAGATACTTTTAAAAAATAATCTGTCTGGTATCTGTGACATGTATTATACCTATTAGAAATGATCTGTTAGGGCATTATTCTGGGGGCATGTGTGTAAATTTGATTTTTTCACCTAATTTAGATGTAGAATTGTTAAAGATGGTTTGCCGTATCATCTGTAGTATGCACCCGTGCCACAAAGCAACTGGCAGCATTCAGTTATCATCTGCTGAAGTACTGGCGAACAGGAAGAAACAATTTTCGCACGCCAATTGCAAAACTCATAATGTCCTAATGTGGAAGGAAAGTGTAAAATTAGGACCTGATTATACAATGTTTGCTTTTGTTGTCTTCCTGGGATTCTTTTTTGAAAGTACTCAAAGGGAGCTAGAAGAGAGAAATAAAAATTCATGCCCTGTATCTGCCGAGAGGATCAAGATCAGGCCTCTGGATAAGTTAGCTATAAAAGAACAGAAATGTGGAAATACGTTATTTGGGTGAGACATTTTTTCAAATGGGGTTAGAAAGAAGGATATTGTGGATATAGGAATGATTTTAGTAACACTCATAATTTTATTTGTCAACAGATAAACACTCTTGTAATATTGAAAAGAGATTTGACCATCCTTCCTCTTTGATTTAAAAATAGATTTTTCTGTCATCTTTGACATATAGGCTGCAAAGTAAATCATGATTTCTGCACTTTAATTATAACACCCACATATTTGGAATGTCTGGGTTTACAGGAAAACTATGAAACGAGTGCAGTGAATTTACTGTAGTAATGCTCACTTGTTGAATAATTTTCCTTTGATTTTCAGTTTGTTTAATAAATAAATTATTTGAATACATTCTACATTAAGTATCTTGTGAAAATGCCAGAAATATCTGTATGTTGTAAACGTTTCATTATCATACATGTCAGAATTTTTTAATTTTATCTAAATTCTGTTGCTTTTATAGATTATCTTTCACAAGGAATAGACCTCTCCGGAATAGAAGTAATTGAAAATGACCTGCTTTTTATTGCAAGAGCTCGACTTGAGGTTGAAAATCAGGCTAAACGGTTACTTGAGCAAGGGGTAGAGACTCAGGTAAAAAACATTTTTTTTCATTTCAAAAGCAAAGATGAATATGGAACTTTGAAGCTAATTATTCTGTTTACTATAGAATTGTCAAACTGAGGGACCAAACCTGAAAAATCTTGCTTATCTGAGCAATTGTTACTCACATAAGGACTCTCTCAGAAGTTAATGGGGTTAATTGCATTAATAAGTTTACTCAAAAAAATAAGATTTTGCAGGATAAAGACCTGAAAACTTGAGAAAAATTAAATGTGTATTTTATAGAACATAATATAACAAACTTCTTTTTGTGGTAAAGGGATAGTTTGTTAATATTGAAAATATTTTGTATTAACATAATGCTCTGTGCTTTATATTTAAGGTTACTGAGCATTATAAATGAATTTGAAAAATGTATATTCTGAGAAGTGCAAGGAATCTGCTGCCATTTAGCTGTGCTTTGGTGTAATGAACTGATTCAGAAGATTTCCTATTAAAACTTTAAAGACACCTTAAACTTTGAGATAAAAATCTATTTTAAGGAGTATCAGAATGAATGTGCATAATTATATTCATTTATACTAAATCTGATTACCTGCAATTTAAAGGGGCTGAATAAATGTATTCTTGTATAACTGTCGTACAATACCATCTATGCTTTTCTCTGCATTTTTCTGTTTTCATGTCTTAGTATTTTTAAAATAAATTTACATTTTTATTATTAAAATAACCCTTTTTTTTCATTTTAAAGCCCCTCAATTATCGTAAGTGGAATGTTGGTCTAATACAGTTCTGTAGTAAGTTGGGGTTCTATGGGAAACAAAGTCAGAATATTAAAAAAAGATATTTGTGTGCTCTTTTTCACAAAATTTTCTAGTCATGTTAAAAAATTAGGAATGTGATTTATAAGTAAAAACATTATAATAGCACCAATGTTTCCTACATTTTCAGTATCAGAGTGGTAGCCGTGTTAGTCTGGATCTGTAAAAGCGGAACTCTTTGCCGCTTTTACATTTTCAGTGTCATTTAAGAGTTGAAGGCTTGGTTTAAGCTTAATCGCTTTTAAGATATAAAGTGGAGGAATTCTATTGAAAGTTAACAGGAAAAAGGAAAAAAACAAATGAGACCATCAATTATATGCAATACTCCTTTACCATATTTGTTTGTGCTAGATAATGGAGTGCTAAAAAAGACCAGTCTGTCTCATACTTATACTTACACTGAGATTTCTTTCCTACTTAAGGCCAGTCTATGTAGGTTTTGATGTGGACACAGCAGCAAAATGAGAACAGATGCATGGAATTAAGCGGCAGGCTGCAACTTTTATTAAACTTTAACACAGGGGAGGAGTTCTATCTTCCCATTGCCCCTACTCTCCTATACAAGGCATTTAATTGTTTCCAGTGTGGGGGTTGTAGGGCTCCTTACCATATAATCTGTTAACTGGTGCCAGGGTTACAGGGCTTGTTATCATATAACCCATAATGCAGAGTGGCTCTCCTCAGCCTATCCTGCAGGACTCAACTCTCTCTGAGTCCTAACAGAACTGTGACTTCCATCAATATGGCTTTCCTAGTGTGTATTACACCAGTGCGAAAAACCTATTGAAGACAATACCTAAGAGGAAGTAGGCAGTAATTTTTTATTGTAAATAGGGCTGTCAAGCAATTAAAGAAATTAATTGTGCAATTAAACAATAATAGGATGCCATTTATTTAAATATTTTGGGTGTTTTCTACATTTTCAGATGTATTCATTTCAATTACAACATAGAATACAAAGTGTACAGTGTTCACTTTATATTTATTTTCTATTACAAATATTTGCACTGTAAAAAAAACACAAAAGAAATAGCATTTTTCAATTCACCTAATACAAGTACTGAAGAGCGATCTCTGTGTCATGAAAGTTGAACTTACAAATATAGAATTATGTACAAAAATAACTGCATTCAAAAATAAAACAAGTAAAAATGTAAAGTCTACTAGCCCACTCAGTCCTACTTCTTTTTCAGCCAATCACTAAGATAAACGAGTTTGTTGATATTTGCAGGAGTTAATGCTGCCCGCTTCTTGTTTACAATGTCGTCTGAAAGTGAGAACAGGCGTTCGTATGGCACTTTTGTAGCCGGCATTGCAAGGTATTTATGTGCCAGATATGCTAAACATTCCTATGCCCCTTTGTGCTTCGGCCACCAATCCATAGGACTTGCTTCCATACTGATGATGCTCATTAAAAAAATGTATTAATTAAATTTGTGACTGAACTCCTAGGGGGAGAATTGTATGTCTCCTGCTCTGTTTTACCCGCATTCCGCCATATATTTCGTGTTATAGCAGTCTCGGCTGATGACCCAGCACATGTTCGTTTTAAGAACACTTTCACTGCAGATTTGACAAAACACAAAGAGGGTACCAATGTGAGATTTCTAAAAATAGCTATAGCACTTGACCCAAGGTTTAAGAATCTGAAGAGCCTTCCAAATCTGAGGGACAAGGTGTGGAGCATGCTTTCTGAAATCTTAAAAGAGCAACACTCCAGTGCAGAAACTACAGAACCTGAACCACCAAAAAAGAAAATCAACCTTCTGCTGGTGGCATCTGACTCAGAGGATGAAAATGAACATGCATTGGTCCGTACGGCTTTGGATCATTATCGAGCAGAACCATCATTAGCATGTACACATTGTCCTCTGGAATGATGATTGAAACATGAAGGGACATATGAACGTTTAGCGCATATGGCATGTAAATATATTGCGATGCCGGCTACAACAGTGCCATGCCAACGCTTGTTCTCGCTTTCAGGTGACGTTGTAAACAAGAAGCGGGCAGCATTATCTCCTGCAAATGTAAACAAACTTGTTTGCCTGAGTGATTGGCTGAGCAAGAAGTAGGATTGCGTGGACTTGTAGGCTCTAAAGTTTTACATTGTTTTGTTTTTGAGAGCAGTTATGTAACAAACAAACAAAAAATCTACATTTGTAAGTTTCACTTTCATGATAAAGAGATTGCACTAAAGGTGCATTTGAGGTGAATTGCAAAATGCTATTTCTTTTGTTTATCATTTTTACAGTGCAAATATTTATAATAAAAATAATATAAAGTGAGAAGTATACAGTTTGTATTCTGTTTTGCAATTGAAATCAATATATTTGGAAATGTAGAAAAACGTCCAAAAATATTTAATACATTTCAATTGGTATTCTATTGTTTAACAGTGCGATTAAAACTGTGATTAATTGCCATTAATTTTTTAATCGCGATCAATTTTTTTGAGTTAATTGCGTGAGTTATCTGTGATTAATTGACAGCCTTAATTGTAAATATAGCTAAAAGATCTTTAAGATTAGTGTTTACTCCTTTCAGTTTGGGTTCTTTTCACATGTCACATTTGACCTTGTCTGACAATTTTCTATTCATATTAAATACTAACACAGGGCTGACAAATAAACCCCAGGAAAATTAATCTCACTTCATTTGAAGAATTGATAGTTTTATTAGACACATCAGACCGTATCAAGATAATTAAGACATTATTATAGTAGATGCCTGTTGTGCTTTAGTGAGTGACCGGTTTCCAATCAAACTGGGGATTGTGTAGAAAAACTTTATTAGTGCTTAATTGTATCAAAAGAAAAAGAAAGATGCAACTGTCAGAATGAAATGTTGCTTGGTTTGCTTCACCGATTTCTTGATGAAGAGAATAATGTGCTTTAGAAGATTATGTGCTTCCTTCCATTGTCCTGAGAAATATAGAATTACAGAGATGAACAACAAAAAGAAAAGGAGTACTTGTGGCACCTTAGAGACTAACTCTAAGGTGCCACAAGTACTCCTTTTCTTTTTGCGGATACAGACTAACACGGCTGCTACTCTGAAACCAGAGATGAACAACAGATACTAAGTCTTTATTTAGAATTTTTTATCATTCTAGTTGTATGTATTTATGTGACAGGTATATTTACTTTTCATACATTTCAAGCCTGGATGTTGACCGTAAGAGAACTGAGATCCTCCCTACTTCTTTTTTTTGTGGTTTGTATAAGAGAAGCTATGAAATAGCCCAACTTCCTATTTAATCCTTTCTTAGCAGGCGTGCCTCTGTGCAGCTGAAGATAATGCATTTGTAGTTTCTGATGTGATAACTTTGGAATAATTTGGAATACATTCTGTAGTTGTAGTTTGTGGTTTTATGTTCTGAATTTCTCTTTAAATAATAAACACACTAGATTATGTTCCTGCTACATTAAACAGATGTTTTTTGTCTTAGCAACCATCATGATTCATGTCTGTGTGTGTTGAGTTTATAGCCCTTTGTATTTTCAGTTAATTGATTTTGAATGTTACTCTGTTCTCAAGACCAGGTGGCAAGTATTGAATGCATCTTTAGCATACTATGCCAAAGTATCTAGTCGTATTTGTGGAAAGAATTATGAAAACCTTTACAGAAGTTATTTACAAGTTGTATTTCCCAAACAGTTTATTTCTGAGTATTCTTGCAACCACCTTGAGGGAGAAGGGAATTTAACTATAATGTTTTAAAAAACTAGCTAGATAATGTCTATAATGAGGTCTGCTTCTTTACAATTGTATGTAATGTTGGGCTGGAAACTTAAAGAACATAAATCACAAGGTGAATAAAAGGAGACTTAATTACATGTCTGTTACTGTATTTTACATATGCTAAAACTTATTTACACTGACTGAGGCAAAGAAGACAAAATTATTAAGCAGATATGCAGATGTGTGTTTATTATTAAAAAGTAATACTATTGGTTTGAGATTATTCAAATTAATATGCAAAGAACATTTTATATTTCTAATTTGTATTCTAGATACTATTTTTAAAAAGGTTTGTGCTTCTGTTGATCTGGGTTGACGCTGTGGACAGAATTGTAATTAATGATTGTGTGAGACAATTATTTTTCTGTTTCTCACAATATACTGCACATGGAAATGATTAAAAATTGCTTGTTAAATCATCCATCAATAACATGGTGATAAGCCATTCTGATGAATGCAGTCTGC